ACTTTGCTAAGATCCAAAAAGCAAAGATGAAATCATCGAAAACGCTGGACTTTTTTTTTTTATCGAAAACATATTTTTAAAGTTTGGTAGATTGATATTTCAGCAGACAGTCGGTATTCTAATGGTTATTATTTGTGTACTACTACTGGCCGACTTGTATTTGTACTCATATGAAGCAGATTTCATACAGAACCTTCTCAAAGACAAATGAAAAAAATATCTTTTAAACTTCTTTAATTTCCTTTTCATATATATTGATGGTGTTTTGCTACATTTGAATGAGTGCTTACATATAATATATCCTAGTGGAATTCAGAAAGTAAAAAGTTTGCCTAATATAATTTCCTCGATATTGACACAGACTGATGACTTCAAAGAAGAATCTATGACAAACGTGACGGTTTCAACTTTGCAATTGTTATCTTACCATTTCTTAGCAGTAACACGCACTCTGCTGCGTCGTATGCCGTTCACAAATCTAAGTTAATACGTTACGCTCGTGCATGTTCACACTATTCGGACATCATTAAACGGGGTGTGTTCCTAACACCAAACTGCTCCAACAGAGTTACGAGGAAGAACGACTGCAATCGACACTTCATAAATTTTACAGTCACCATCACGAAATGGTTGACCGATACGATGTTTCGTTGTTTCAACTCACAAGCAACATGTGTTCGTGGTCTTAGATCTTTAGATACCAGTTTAATCGTAATTTTACCGATTTATTCTTTTCCTAATTCGCATGACGGGTGATGCATCCATAGAAGGAGATGCGTATCCTGTCGACACACCCGGATTCGCTCTTTTTGGAGTTATGCGATTCCCTTAGTTTTTTTTTGTTACCTGGATTTGTCTCTTCCTAATGGATTCAATAGATTTGAACATCGGTAAACTTTGTCGCCTGAATTTAACACTTTGAAGTTATTTTTAGTTTTTAAACTAACTTCATTTTAAATTTCAAGATGTAGATTAATATATAAGGCAGACTCAACTGTTTCTGTAGTATCGTTTATGTCAAGTTTATTGTGATCGTTACAAGCGACATAGTCATTAAACATTGAACTATTCAGTGAAAGGACATCATCTATATACCGGAAAGAAAAGTTCGAAGATAATTCCATATTTTTTTCATTTTGTTTGGAAGCTTCTGTATGAAGTCTTATATAAATAAAGGAACACGTCGGCAAGCAGGGGCACGGTTGGTTCCCATAGGAATGACGATTGTTTGTTGAAAAACACATCCTCGAAACGTAACAAGTACAACATGCATGGTATTAATAAAAAAAATCCCGCATTTTGTAAGTAAGTTTTAGTAAAAAAAAAGTACCAAAGATCTAGCAATATTACGTTGTTTGAAATTCTAAATGAGATCAACACCGACCAATGATTGTTTAGTATTTATTTTTTTTAATTTTTTTTTTTTTTTGGTTTCAAAGTTAATTTTCAAATTTTCTTCCTGTAACAAGCACTTAATTTAATATAATTGATAAATTCCGTAATTATACACAAACTAAGGTTTCAACTCCCTCAGGTAAAGTTGACCTTAGACGAATTTGGCTATTACTTTTAGGTCCGTTTGGTTGTATAGCTCTTCATTAGTGTGGTTCGGTATTTATCCATATTTATCCATCCGGCTTTCAAATTTTTGGCTTTGAGCGTTCCTTATGAAGGTGAATCCAGAAAAATGATTCGGACGCATAAAATTGATAGTGTTATTTTCATTTTACATATATACACTTAATGGTTGGGGATTTTGTCTACGGGAATAATAACATACTTGCCATGGAGGTAGTACCATTATCTTTGAAGAAGGATGTACCACGAGTTTATAGAATCATTAAAATATTTCAACGCCCTCACAGCCTTAACTTAAACGGAAAAATATAATCGTCTAACATTAGGAGACGAATAACTGCGTAAAATTACCTGATGACAAAACTGTCTCAGATTAACAAGTTCAACTTGTTGTTTTGCAATAAGTCACTGCTTTATACATTTTATTAAGAGCTTGTTTTGACCTTGAGATATATATAAATAAATATAATTCTTGGAAATTAAGGGATCTTATGACGTTAATAAAAAGGTCAAAATTGATAAAACTTCATAAATTTATAAAAATTGTAAATTAGAATATGTATAAGTTTAATAATAAAATAATAAAATGAACAATCAAAAACGTTTTTATAGAAAATATTGTGTGAGAGCTGCATATTAATAGTATTATATTCAAACTTCAGTACTAATTGCAAATGATAACGAGTTTTAAATTTTTAAAAATATTTCCATTTTTGTACTTTAAAAATGGCTATTTTTACATAAAACATAACTTATACTGACTATACAATTAGCGATAGATTTTTTTTTCAAATGTCTTTTCTTTTCTAAAACTTTCAATTTGTATAATATGTATAATATTATCTATCATTCCTGTCACTATATACTCTTTTCATTTACATCTCCCATTTAGGAAACTCCAAAAATTCCTTTTATCTGGGACGATAAATGGACACAGACATTTACTTATGAAAGAATCCTGATAGCAGATGACATCAATGAAAACAAAACGTGCTTCAAAGATTACAAGACTGCTACCTTGAATTCGGCACCAACAGACAACTACCGAAACTTACATTGACTCGACACTAACTTCAAAGGATGACCAACGATTTCGGATACAACGTATAGCAATATTACTTCGTGTGCCCTCAGGATTAAATTCAAGTAAATGCAAGAAGAAAAAAAAACGTCATAAGCAGAAGAAGTATAAAACTACTGATAACATATTTACGCCCACAAAGCAATCTTTTGTTTGTTCATGTCGATAGTGTTAGTGATGAACTGTTTATGAGCATTTGAAATTATCAGTGATATTGATAAAAGATACAATGTATGTCTCAATGTTACTGTATCATATTTACATATTATTTCATTGAACGTGTCTGGAATAATTTGTTCGGTCCATTACATTGGGGCGCATTACCAATTTGCTAATATCTGGTTAAACCGTATTGCGTCAGATGACAATTGTATGCGCTTTATAAATATTCACAAGACATGCAGTTTCTATGACCAACTTCTGGAGAAAAAAAGCACGATCGTTTGCAGAAATAAGAAATTCCTATTTTATCACAGAACTGTTAACCGAAATACCAAATTCATCAGGAAATAAGTGCGTTTCATGCAAAAAATACTTTGATAATGTTTACGTGCATGCATGTTGTACCTGCATTTGTACTACAGAGCTGCGCGAATTGTGGTGGAATATGGTTATTGAGAATATTTCGCTACAACTTTATTGCGAACTAAGCGAATATGATGATGAGGTTGTTTATCAAATTTTACTCGGACGAATTCCATGAACTGTCATTATCGAATATTCTGAGTTTGAAAAGCTTTGCCACGTCCATGTTGTCCAATACATAGCAACATATATAGACGTTGTGAGACTTTATGCCAAGTGAATTAGGTATTTATTTGTCTGTATATGTATAGAACTTTGTATTCCCTTTTTTCACTTTTATTTCGTTTAATCTTTTTGTTGTGTGATATTTGATTAATTTTGTATATTCAATGTATTTCAATTGTGAAGAAATAAAGACATAAATGAATGAATGAATGATTTGATTAAAGTGCGTATGTCTATGATTGTTATGTATATACTAGTATATGAATATATAAATCACCAGTGTTCATGTCATTTCTAATAATTTGACGTGAAATCATTTTTAAATGCTAGTATACTGCGGATATATAATATAATTTGATATTTTTGAAAATATTTAGGACTTCCTTTTTTTAATTAAAACTGAACAAAATTCTTGATTCAGGTATTCTTTTATGACAAGAAGCAAGTAACAATATAATTGCAGAGGCATATTAAGGGGGTTGGCAGGGGCCGCCTCTCTTTTTATGGAGCTACATATGTGGTGAAATAATGCATCTATAGACTTTGTACAGGTTACACTTCTAACGTTGCCTAGTCCCCCTTTTTCAAAATCCCGGTTACACATCTGAATTTAAATATGTACGTATAAGGTCACATAACTTTAATTTTTAGATTTTTATACTCTCACATGCTATTATTCCGAATTTCGTTTATATATTTTTAGACATGTTTGGCAATCTTAGATATAGAGCCAATTTTGTGTTAAATACAGTCTTGGATCTAAATGTTAGTTTGTATCTTTTCAAAAAGAAATACTTGAACAATCCTGACCTACTGCTCTACGATGGTTATAAATTGATTACGGGCAGGGACTTAATTATTATGATTAGATTCATTGTAAACCTAGTTGCAGGTAAAATTAATTAATTCCTACTGTCACCAATATAATTATGTTTATCCAACCAAAAGCTAAGTGCCTGTATACCAAAAAAAAAATATGTCAGAATATACATTGTACACAAAAATACAAACGATACAACTTACTTTCTCCATCTATTACAAGGGTCAAATAATATGTTCTCACACAAAAATAATTATCACGCTATTATCATTATATTAATGATTGTTGGTTCTTTTAATTAGTTTTTCTAAGCTTTTATTTGATGTCGTCTCATGAGTTTTATAAACCCTTATATCAAATATCATGAATATTACAATTCTAAAAACGAATAGAATACAAAATGAAATAAGAACACGGACATGACGGATCATCTTCAGAAATTGATTTCTAGGTCTTCAACAAAGAGAATACAGACGAATGACCAGATTAGTTATAACAATACAGTCAATATAAGTGGCAAAAATAATGCATACAATGACGTATACGTGTATTAGGGTGTTTTAATCAATAACATCTCTTATATGCAGCTACAAATGTATTTGTCGGATTTTTTACCAATTTATCAAGAATTGTTTTAAAATTAACCTTGCCATCCCAACGTTTTAGTTCAAATTTAAAAAAAAAAAACACGTTTAGGCGTATTTTTAAAACCACAATGATAATTAAAATAAAGCAAGAAAAAAATGATTAATTGTAAGTAAATATACATACAGTTATTGATCTTAATCCAGCAATTGGATTTTACAATTTGTGTCCAGCTCAACTCAAGCGTTTTGTGATCCTGTATAAAAGGTTAAGTAATTGTAGATACATATGTACATTATTAATGACGACGTTGTCGTAGCAGGATACAATTTTCCTGAGGTTTCTTATTGTGATCTTCACACAATAGGATAAATAAATCCAGGTGATTAAGTATAGACCAGGCATGTCGTAAATATTTATAGACGTATTTCAACGGCAATTTTACAATTCGGGTTTTGTTGATTTTACGGCATAATTACGAATGAAAATTTAATATGATTTCATAACTTCCTTTACTTCACTAAAAATGTATATTACCACTAAATTGGCATAGCAATATGCACAAATGAAAACATCACCTTATGAGTGACATAATTTACAACAAATGTTTCTAAATTGTCCGTTTATAAATTTACAAATTATTAAGAAACTAAGGTTTCAGCTCCCTCAGGCAAAGTTGACTGATGGATTTGGCTATTATTCATAGATCCTTTTTGGTCATATAGCTCGTCAACGGATACATCATTTGCTTTCAAATATTTAGCTTTGAGCATTTCTGTTGAAGATTAATTCCAGAAAAGCGCTTCGAGTGCATGCAATTCATAAAGTTTTGTTTTCATTTTCTAATTGCATGCAAAGCTAAATCGAATACATGTACATTGGAAATAAAGATAAAATGGGTTAATAGACAAAGTAGATGTTTAACATAAATATATAGAGGACATAAAAAAATATAATCTTTTATATAAATTTAAGAATTTTCAGCTTAAGTGAACTATTATGATATTAACCATAAATTATTTCATATCACATCTGACATAACAAGTGTAAAAACAAACTTATGTCAAATTTCAATTGCTGATAAGAACCGACAAGGAGGCTGTATTTATAGGTACACCTGACAGATGGAGTATTGACACAGTGATACACATTACATTGTCTCCTGGACATTTGGCTATTATACGTCATTTTAAAGTTATATATGATTTTTGGTTTTCAACCGTTATAACTTATATTATGCTCTTTAACTTTGTATAGAAATAAGGAGATGTGGTATGATTGCCATTGAGACAACTATATACATACACCAAATTTCAAATGAAGTGGGTGAAAGCACTTATAGGCAACCGTACGGCCTTCAACAACGAGAAAAAACCATACTGTATAGTCGGCTATAATAGGCCTAAAAATATAAAAGTAGTTTATTTGACCTTTTGACTATTTTTATTCGAGTGTCACTGATGAGTCTATTGTAGACAAAGCACGCGTCTGGCGTTCTAAATTATAAGCCTGGTGTCTTTGATGATTTTTTATTATGTTTTTGAAAAAAGTTTAACAATGGGCAGGGAGGGATCGTATAGTATTTACCTTTAAAATTATAAATTCGTATAGTTATTTAATAAAAATATTGTGACAAAATATTTGATATAACTTTCTAACAAACTAGGTCGAAAACTATTACTTCACTTTTACAGAGATCAATATCAATATAACAACGTATAGTTGGATATTTTCATAATGAGCCTCCTCATGGGGTTTTTAATTATGTAATTACCTGGCTGTTTTTATAGTGATTATTTGATTACCAGACCAAATATTTCATGATTATTTGATTATTTGATAATCTAGGAATGTATTTTTGATTATTTGATTATCTTGTTTTAAAAAATAATTAATGATTATGTGATTATATTGGCAAAAAAATTGTAATTATGTGATTACTTGGACACTCCCATGAGGAGCCTCATTAATAATTTAAGTACTTAGATAAGTTCTTAGATCAAGTTTCATCTTTTTCATTACAAGATTAACACACATGCATTATTTATGAATAGAGCGAATCTCTAATGAGTTATGAATCAAATTAACATCAAATAATGAGTTATGAATCAAATTAACATCAAATAATGAGTTATGAATCAAATTAACATCAAATTAAACAATTAAACAAATTAAATGTTGAATTTAATTGATGTTACATCTGGAGGAATAAATGGTAATATTTTTTTTTTATTTTTCGGTGTAGTACGACAATTTCTTTACATGCATACAATGCACACAAAGTTTCCGGAAATCCAAAATACTACAGTATAGATCGACTTTATCAAAAAAAAGTTCTCCGAGTTAACCTGGTCACACATATTACTTAGTTTGTGCAAGAAGCCTGCCACTGTTGAAAAAGTGTTAATGTTCTATATTTATGCAAGGTGAGCGATTAAACCTCCTTAAAGCTCATTCTCATTTAGGTTTACAAGAAATGTCGTTGTATTCATATTATCTTTATTCCAGCTGTTTTATAGTAAAATATTTTTGGTGGTTTTATTTGTTATTGTTTTCACTGTATCGATTTTGATTCATTTATCGATATAAAAATGAGGTTTAAGAACAAAATTAGAATAAAACCAAGTCGAAAGCCTCAATAAATCTGATTTCATACAGGAGCTTCTAAATAAAAAAGAATGAACTGAAGCTAGCAATATCCTTTAACTTCCGCTAAATAAATGATGTCCTCTCACTAAATAATTGAAAGTTTGGTGACAATGTTGAACGCATTTTACCCACCAAACTTCAAGTAAGGAATAATTACACAAGATACAGTTAAGATTGCCTCATATCTTGACTAACATCGAGAAATTAACAATTATGGCGATTGAGAACAAAACTTTATGACTAAATAGATCAATTCAGCTTCCCCACTGTGAACATTCCGTTTTTATGGTCGCCTTCATATGGAATATATATCTCCCAGTTGATACGATATTCTAGAGCTTGCATTTCCTATCGTGATTTCCTTGATAAACGACGGACAGGCTGCTTACATGGAAGCTTTTAAAGCAAGTGTGCCTAGTGGTGAAGTTGAAGTCATCCCTTTGAAAATGTTACGGACGACATCTCAAGTTGGTTGATCGTTATCGACGACGACATAAGTGCGCCAATTGTAGTAACTACAACCCCGTTCTCTTTTCCTCGAATGTGAAGTCACCGAATTGGAACTTACATGAGCAACACGACGGGCGTCAAATGGGAAGAAGACTATGCATTTCCTTCCGGAGCACCTGAGACATAGTTTGTTAAAAAGGGGTTCCTGTTATTCGTGCTTCAGTTTTAAGTGTTGTTATTTGTGCTTCTAATTTTTTGAATGTATGTGCTCTTTATACCGGTATCAATATTGTCTATCCTTTGTCATGAAAAATTTGTTACAATTTCTAAATCTCACATACGGTAATGTTTTAGGGTTAGAAAATTTACATGACCGATGGTTTTCGAATTTAAAGATGTCTTAATTATGGTTAGATAAGAGTCAATTACCAATTCGTGATGCCTAATCTCTTGATATAACTATTCACTGTATGTTATAGGTGTAACACGATGGATGTCACATGTAGAGTAGAATATGTTTACTGTCCCTGAGCACCTGAGATTACCCCTGGTTCCTGGTTTACCCCTGGTTCCTGTTTGAGTTCTTGTTGCTCAGTCTTTAGATTTCTATGCATTGTAGACTGTGTTTGTGTGGTCGTTTTTCGTATTTTTCCATGGCATTGTGAGTTCAGTCTTTAGATTTCTATGCAATGTAGACTGTGTTTGTGTGGTCGTTTTTCGTATTTTTCCATGACATTGCGAGTTCAGTCTTTAGATTTCTAGGCATTGTAGACTGTGTTTGTGTGGTCGTTTTTCGTATTTTTCCATGACATTGCGAGTTCAGTCTTTAGATTTCTATGCATTGTAGACTGTGTTTGTGTGGTCGTTTTTCGTATTTTTCCATGACATTGCGAGTTCAGTCTTTAAATTTCTATGCATTGTAGACTGTGTTTGTGTGGTCGTTTTTCGTATTTTTCCATGACATTGCGAGTTCAGTCTTTAGATTTCTATGCATTGTAGACTGTGTTTGTGTGGTCGTTTTTCGTATTTTTCCATGACATTGTGAGTTCAGTCTTTAGATTTCTATGCATTGTAGACTGTGTTTGTGTGGTCGTTTTTCGTATTTTTCCATGACACTGTGAGTTCAGTCTTTAGATTTCTATGCATTGTAGACTGTGTTTGTGTGGTCGTTTTTCGTATTTTTCCATGACATTGCGAGTTCAGTCTTTAGATTTCTAGGTATTGTAGACTGTGTTTGTGTGGTCGTTTTTCGTATTTTTCCATGACATTGCGAGTTCAGTCTTTAGATTTCTATGCATTGTAGACGGTGTTTGTGTAGTCGTTTTTCGTATTTTTCCATGACACTGCGATTTCAGTCTTTAGATTTCTATGCATTGTAGACTGTGTTTGTGTGGTCGTTTTTCGTATTTTTCCATGGCATTGCGAGTTCAGTCTTTAGATTTCTATGCATTGTAGACGGTGTTTGTGTGGTCGTTTTTCGTATTTTTCCATGGCATTGCGAGTTCAGTCTTTAGATTTCTATGCATTGTAGACTGTGTTTGTGTGGTCGTTTTTCGTATTTTTCCATGACATTGCGAGTTCAGTCTTTAGATTTCTAGGCATTGTAGACTGTGTTTGTGTGGTCGTTTTTCGTATTTTTCCATGACATTGCGAGTTCAGTCTTTAGATTTCTATGCATTGTAGACTGTGTTTGTGTGGTCGTTTTTCGTATTTTTCCATGACATTGCGAGTTCAGTCTTTAGATTTCTATGCATTGTAGACTGTGTTTGTGTGGTCGTTTTTCGTATATTTCCATGGCATTGTGAGTTCAGTCTTTAGATTTCTATGCATTGTAGACTGTGTTTGTGTGGTCGTTTTTCGTATTTTTCCATGACATTGCGAGTTCAGTCTTTAGATTTCTATGCATTGTAGACTGTATTTGTGTGGTCGTTTTTCGTATTTTCCATGACATTGTGAGTTCAGTCTTTTGATTTCTATGCATTGTAGACTGTGTTTGTGTGGTCGTTTTTCGTATTTTTCCATGACATTGTGAGTTTGTCTTCGACTTATGAGTTTGAATATCCCTTTGGTATATTCAGCCTCTCTTTTTCTACTTAATTTAGAATTCCAACGTTTCTGTAAAATAATGGAGCGTCAGTTTAAAATTCAAGTACTGTA